GTGTGCTGCCTGCATTCCATGGAGGGGGCTTTGCTTGTTTGTGTGGACCAGTTGCTGGCATGCCGCAGCCCGGTACCAGTCCACAGACTGAGGGTTGGGGACCCCTGTCCTAAGGGACTTGATTGCTGCAGGTCTGACAACAAGTTTGGTCTAGTGGTTAAGGCCAGAAAACGGGAGACAATGAATTCAAGTCCCACTTTAGTCATGAAAGCCAGCTCAGTGATCTTGGACCAGTCACTCATTCTCTCAGCCCCAACTCACCTCACAGGATTGTTGTTCTGGGGAAAATAAGAGGAGGAACATGCATTGGATATGTTTGCCATCTTGAGCTATTTGTAAAAATAATAAAGGTGGGATATAAATAAATAAATATTTATTTATTTATATAAATCACTGATAAACATATTGTCTGAATACAGCTAGATGTTCTTTGTGTATGTTGGCTTTATGGTGTTTTGAACCCAGGCGATTAGGTTGGTTTAGCAAACAATAAATCAGTTAAACATGGGTAGCATGTTGTGTGAAAATGTTGGAATAGTCATGTGGTAACTCAGTCAGCCAATATGGAGAAAGTGCTACTGAGTCTGTGCAAAAAAAGATATTGAGTTAGAAGCTGAATTTTCAGTCTCAGGTTTGTCGCTGTATCTCTCTGTAAGAAGTCTTCAATTGAGCTATGTTGCTGTAAAGAAGAATGTATGGTAATATTTTGATATGTATATAAAGAAGTTATTTTGAATCAGCTAAATGCAGTCAACTGTGAGAGCTTCTGATTTATTTTTTCACCAACAGAGAAATTAAAATTCTCTAACAGAAAACAGCCTAAGATCTTCACATTGCATAGTGACTCCCTCTTGCCTTACCTGCCAAATGATGACCAGTCTTGGGCTCAAGACTAGCTTTCTTTTATAAAGAAAGAAAAAAGATTTCATTGCTATTTTACCAATGGGTTCTGAGAATGGCAGGAAGTGCTTCATGGATGGCCTATCCTCTGCAGAACAGATCTGCAGTTACTGTTTTTTTTGGAACAGTTTATTGTTCTGGCAGTTTATTGTTGATGAACCATATCAACTTGCCATGGATACACAATGGAAAGAAGCTTAGAGCTGGTTTATGTAAAACACTGATCTGAAACTCTGAATGCATTTGAAAGCAGTGTCAAAATCATTCTTCTTGTCACTAAAGTACTCAGGCAGAAACAATTGGATTTCTGTCCTGAGAAGTTAAATGGCTTTTTAAAGTGCAGATGAACCATCTGGGATCAAAGTTCCCCTTATTGCTAGTTCAGGCCTTTTTAACCTGAAAAAAAGTACAGCTGTTGATTGAATTTTCAGCAGCAAAAGTGTCTAGGATTTGTTTTATCAAGAACTTTCTATTTCCAGATTATGAAGCTAAGATATAAAAGCCAGTGAATATTTCATTAGAGACGAGCAGGATACTCGGATGATAATTCTCTTGGACTATTTTTGTCTAGCAAGCAGCCTTCAGCGTTATATTGCCTCTAATCTTGGAAGCAACATTTTATCTTCCAAATATCTGTCTAATTTGTGTGGCCTCTGATTCTTGTGAACTGAAGCCTGCCTTCCTATTGCATCCATTGGTGAGGAACCTCACTTGCCTCTGGATTAGAACAGAACAATTGCTGGGATTGTTTACTTGTTCCTTGATCACAGCAAAATCTAATAAGGACAAACCTAACTATTTGGTAGACGGAAGATCAGTATAAAATTTAGGAAAGTGATGTTGTCAATACACTTTGATTTTCCCCAGAAAAACAGCACTGATGTTGTTGCAACTTGCAAGCAAGGATTTAAGTCCTTGATTTTATAAATATGTTGAGAGATTCTACCACGACCTTTTTTTCCTCAGATTTGAAATCAGATTTCTATGGAAACTGTCTATCCCAGTGATGGTGAACCTATGGCACGGGTGCCAGACGCGGCACTCAGAGCCCTCTCTGTGGGCACACGCACCATCTCTCCAGCCCTGCCTCCTCCCACCGCCCCCTCCTCACCAGGAGCCCCCCCCCAGAGGAGAGTCGCCCTTGGGCGCGGCCCACGCGAAACAGCGCTGCCAAGGACATGGTAGCCGGGCAGGGGGGACAAGACTCTGCCCTTGCGCCCTGTGACACGCAGATGATACTGCAGGGCATGGGTGGAGGGCATGGCCGCTATGGTGCTGCTGGGCTGCCTGGGTGATCTGTGGTGGGCCGTAGAGGTGATGGGTGGCCCAGTGGGCAGGGCAGAGCAGGGATGGGGATGGGGGGCAGTTTTGGGGCACTCGGTCCCTAAAAGGTTTGCCATCACTGGTCTATCCCAATTGAAACACTAAACATGATTACTAATGCAGCTACAATTTTAAGTGCTCTATAATTTATTGTATTTCCTTATGTTATGACAGATTTTTCCCTTTTAATTGCATTTTGTATACATTATTTTGTGATATTTTAATATGAATGCAATGTAGAAATATATTTTTAAAAATAAATATATTAAATATATAGATACACTTAATTCATTCAGCCTTTCTTCATAGGACTTATTACTTAAACTGCAATTCCACAATCATCTTATAGGGGAGATGGGTGGCATAAAATATTATTATTATTATGGATCATCGCACAGTCAGCCAGATGTTCAGACTGGATTTGGCATTTTGTCTACCTACTGAGTCCTTACCCAGGACCTGGGATAGGCAGATGTGGATATTTGATGGTATTACAGATATCGTCGCAGGATGGAAGCAGTTCCTAGTAAGGCCGCCTTTTGCAATTGACTAATAGCGAATTTGTCAATGCCAATGGTGTTCAAGTGGTGCTCCAGTTGTTTGGGGATTGCACCCAAGGAGCCTATAACTATTGGTACTACCCTTGCTTGCTTTTGCCACAGTCTTTCTATTTCTATTTGTAGGTCTTTGTATTTTGTTATCTTCTCCAGTTCTTTCTCGTCTATTCTGCTGTCTCCAGGCATTGCCACGTCCACTATCCAGACTTTTTTGTCTTTTTTATCGACAATTGTTAGGTCTGGAGTGTTATGTTGCAGGTGCTTGTCTGTTTGAATTCTAAAGTCCCTGAGCAGTTTAATTTTATCATTTTCTATGACTTTCTCTATTTTATGATCCCACCAGTTCTTGCTTACAGCTAAATGATATTTCTTGCAGATCTTCCAATGCACCATTGTTGCTACTTTGTCATGCCGCTGCTTATAGTCAGTCTGTGCGATCTTCTTGCAGCAGCTTACCAGGTGGTCTACTATTTCTTCAGCGTCTTTGCATAGACGGCACTTACTGTCTGTTGCTGTCTTCTCAATTTTGACTTTATATGCATTTGTCCTTAAGGCTTGGTCTTTGCAGCCAGAATTAGTCCCTCGGTCCCTTTCTTCAATTTTCCTGCTCTTAGCCATTGCCAGGTTATTATCTGCTTTCCCAGCTATTTTTTTTAATGTATTGGCCATGTAGTGCTTTGTCTTCCCATGCCTCTATTCTGTTCTTCATTTGGTCTTTCTTATAGGCCAGTTTGGTCTCTCCAGTAGTCAGTAAGCCTTCCTGATATACTAATTTCAGTGCATTTTCATCACTGTCCTTCAGATATTCTTCCAAAGCCATTTTTTCTTCTTCAACCATCTGATGTACTTGCAGCATTCCACGCCCACCTATTTGCCTTGGTAGATAAAGTCTATCAATGTCACTGTGTCATTATTTTTCTGGTCTTCCTATCTTCCTTCCTTTTAGTTCTGCTTGAGTCCAGTCCACTATTCCAGCTGTGTATCTAATGACTGGAATTGCCCAGGTGTTGATTGCCTTTATGGTATTTCCTCCATTGAGTTTGGATTTTAAGATCTTCTTCACTCTCTTGATGTATTCACCTCTAATCTTTTTCTTGACTTCAGTGTGCTTGATGTTGTCATCTTGAAGAATACCCAAGTATTTGTAGTAAACTTCCTGATCCAGACTCTTAATGTTATTTTCGTGGGCATCTTGATTCCTTCAGTTTTCACTATTTTTCCTTGTTTGATAGTAAGTGTGGCACATTTGTCCAAGCCAAACTCCATTGCAATATCTTGGCTATATATACGGACAGTGTTGAGCAGTGATTCTATTTCAGATGATGTTTTTCCATATAGCTTCAGATCATCCATGTAAAGGAGGTGGGATAGTCTGGCAGATGTTTTTGATGTTTGATAGCCATGTCCTGAGTTATTGAGTATTGTTGACAGAGGAAACAGTACAATAATCTCTGTCAACAATATTGTTGTTGTTGTTGTTGTTATTATTATTATTATTATTATTATATTCTGTCAGAAGAGGTAGGCAACTCATAGATATATTTGATATTCTCAACATTTCTCAAAAAATGGCAATTTTCTGCTATGGGAGGTTCAGGCTTACCTCCTTTTTAAAAAAATGAAATAAATGTTGAATTAAGCCTCTTGTAAATTTAATGCACTTATTTTGTGTATGACTTCTCACCAAACATATAGGGACACATGGAATTAAAGGCCAATCTTGTCTTCTGATGATGGCAATGTGGACCTCAGGTAAGATAATATAGATGGATGATCTAAAGTTTGCATATAATCTCTAATATCCTATTATCCTAGGATTCTGCCAAATTTTGATGACAAAATGGCTGAATTTCCATAATTATGACCTTTCTATGATTTCCTCTCCAAAATTAAAGTTTGAAAACTATTCTCATTTCTTCCTTTAAATGCTCTGAAGCCCCCAGATAGGGGTGGCTTTCCTCTAAGAAGTTTCCCACTATAATTCTATTTCTATTTATATCCCCAACACCTCCCTCCCCAAACCCAGAAACTATAATGAAGTTATCCAGTTACCAGATGGCTTCCTGTGGCCTTCCAGAAGATTGTAAAGCAAGACTGCAGCTATTCCAACCTTTGTCTACTTACTAATACAAATCTGTAGAAGATACTTTGCAACTACAGTATTTATGCCAAGATGATTGTCAGAATCTCAGAATGAATAATTACATGAATACAACTTACCAGCCTGCAACCAGATCTGTTCAAGAGTTGTCCACAGCTGAATAGGCCCTTGCTTTGAGGCAGAACTCTGCATAGTTATCTCTGACATGGCCTGTTCCAGTCGTGATGCTGCAATGGAAGATGCTCGCTGGGAACCTGGAATATACAGTAGAAACAGAATACTGATTAAATAAATATGCTGTAATGACCTATTCAAATAAATCCAAAATGAGGCAATTTCCTTATTATCAGGGCTTTTTTTTCTCATAGAATGCCCAGAACAGAGTTCCGGCACCTTTTTTGGATGGGACCTTATAGGGTAAGCAAGGCGGGTTGTATGACATGTGTGAGTTCCGGCACCTTTTTTTTTTAGAAAAAAAGCCCTGCTTATTATGATCAACTAAATATACATAATCAACCTATTGAGGTTAACAATGTAATTCAAATGATAGTATTTGGATAATGAAAAAGTCTAAAGCAGAAATCATTATTAGCCTTGACGGCAGAGTGACTGTCTCTGAAGGCCATCTCCCGGGAAACTAGTGGACTTATTTGTGCAGATGGTTGGCCATTTCAAGAACAGAATGCAGGGCATTGTTTATGTCCTTATGTACGTCCAAATCAATTAATGAAGCAGCATTACCAAAAATTTCTGCTGCTAGGGGTACTCTGAATTGTTTTGTTTTTTTTTAAATCTTCACAAGCATCCCAATGCTGGCACCTGTTAAACAGAATTCTGAGGTTGCAGTATATTGTACAACAGATATTTTCCTCATACAATAAACCCTAATTTTGCAATTGTAAAGGCTAGGAGTTTGTGACTTTACAATTTAAACTGTAGATCATATGGTATATCAGGGAGCAATCAGACATTCTGTAGGTATGAACAGTCCCAGATGCAATTTTTAGAATTTCAAGACTGCAAACACAAGAAAGGGAACTATGCCCAGAAGCTTAGAAAGCCATTGCCAATGCCAGATTGGAAAATGTGGGCCATCTATGGGCTGGGGCTGGGTGATGGCACAGTTTTGCCCTGGTTTGGCTCCTTTCTTCAAGACTGGTCCCATTTGGTATATAGACCAAATGGCTTGCCCCGAGATCCAGAACTTTCTGGATGGGGTAGGACTACTCCTGATAGATCTGGTCTGCAACATGAAGGTTCTCCTGGACTCATGACTCCTGCTTGAAGAGCAGGTGGTATTTGCTGCTAGGAGAGTCCTTGCACAACTTCAGATTGTGTGCCAATTGCTGCCTTTCCTGGATCAGAAGTTCCTGCCCTTAGTCATTCAGGCCCTAGTCATCTCATGATTGGACTATTATAATGTATGTACATGGGGCTCCCTTGAAGAGCATTCAAAAGCTGATGCAGCAGCATGGGCAGTTCTTGGGGCCCAAAGAAGGGCCCATGTAAAACCACTCCTCCATGAGATGCATTGGCCGCTAGTCTGCTTCTGGATGCATTTAAAAGTGTCAATAATCTCCTTTAAAGCCCTTCATGGCATAGGTCCAGGTTATTTGAATGACTCCTTTGCTTGTCCCACCTGTGCTGGCAAAGGAAGCATGCTGGCAAAGGCCCAATTATTCCAGTTAGTGGGTCCAGGAGTAGGGCCTTCTCTGCCACTGCATCTGTCTCCTGGAACATTTTGCCTTCCTATGTGAGGTTGGCCCCAACCCTCCTGACCTTTTGTAAGAGCCCAATTGGAAGCATCACAGTAGAGGTGATTGATTGGTTAACAACAGATTCCCCCCCCCCGACCCTGCGCCCCCTCCCTCCCTCCAGCTCTTATCTATCTATCTATCTATCTATCTATCTATCTATCTATCTATCTATCTATCTATCTATCTATCTATCTATCTAGTTAGCTATCTGGTTATCTAACTTTGGGTAGCTTACAATCATAAGCCACCCTGAGTCACCCTATGGTAAGATACATACATACATACATACATACATACATTGCAGGTTTCTAAGAACGCAGATTGCATCACCACATTCTGAGAGGAATTTAGCTTTTGTAAACCTGTGAACTACAATTTCTTTTACTGTGGTTAGGTAGAATCTTAAACTACTCATTTCGACTACTGTTCAAACATAGATATGTTTTGTCCTATGACAAGTAGCCCACCAAATATCCCTTAAAGCTCAAATTCTTGTTTATACAGCCTTCCTAAGCAAAAAAAGGAGAAAATTCTTCTATCAAATATGAAATAAGTTGAAACATGACATCATCGGATAGTGGTAAGTCATCCTTTACATGAAGAATATTGTTTAATATTGGACAAATTGTGCCTTATGCCTACAATCATGGAGACATATCCCAGAAAACAAACATGGTGCCCAGAGGATCTGGGGAATGCCCAGGTCTTAATTTTCCCCAGCCTCTTCCTAGGCTTCATGATTGCTGCAAGCACATTCCGCATAGCCTGGATAAAAAGAGTCTATTCATATCTCAGTATAACTATACCTAGGGCAACAACAAACCACACTTCATAAATACACATAAATTCCCCTTAGGCTTATTGCAGAATTTATGATCCTAAGCTTTCAGTAGCTAGCTCATTTCTAGGAAACATATCAAGGCTTGGCTTTTTCTATCTTCCAACTGGCTTTCTTCTGTCATCTTAGTTTGTTGTAAATAGACTTGAAAACCATTTGATCAAAAGGCAAGTTGTCTATTTGAAATCAAATAAACTTCAAATATAACATTCAGTAATGTAACTATGCCAAGAATCATTTGCTCAGTTGGCATTTACTTGCATTTATAGATTTCTTTTCCTGACTTCACAACTCTTATAACCTTATTGTGTAAAATTACCTCAATTGTGCAATAATAATTTCAGTTATTGGAGAGATGGAGCCACCAGAAAAAAATTAAGAATGCAAGGGCAAAACAAAACTGCATCCTGTTTCTTAAGAATAAATGCCATCAGTCTTGCCTCTGCCTTCTAGGAAAGAACAGTTTTTCTCCGGTAGGCTCCAATCTCCTGAAAATAGCCTTGAGGGGAACAAAATTAAGAGTTCTTTTTGGCATTGAATATCTGGACACAAGAACCAAGAAAAGGAACCCCTTGGAATAATTTTCTCCATTTTTTAAATCATTCTAAAGAGTAATGAAAGATCATGGAGAGTCAGTCTGGACCTCAAAGTTTTCTACCATTGCACTGGAACTTGGAAACCCTGAGATTAATCGCTGAAGCCATAATATACACAATTTCCTTGCTTTCCTGGACTTCACTCTATACTCTATATTCCCACTAACCTCTTTACTAAAGATGTGTCAAATTCACAAATAGCAACAATCAGTTGAAAATAAAGTACTACTTTTGGCTTGTCACTGACCTCTCACAACTTCATTAAACTGACATCAGCTCTCTGGTGGGGCACTTTGCAAATAGCTACATCTCTGAGCATGTGCACACTTATTTGCATAATTTCTTGATCAGGGGTCCATCAAAAATAAGATTTTATTCAACAGTTTATTTAGTAACTGTTGCTTGCTCTATATGAATATGGGTTGAATTTATGGATGTGATTATCATGTCTTGAAGGTAAGCTACAAGGTTGATTATGTAGAGAGAATCTGTCTGACACACTTCTGTAATTTAATTGCACATTTCTGCTATGTCTGCAAGTCAGCCAGCCATTTTAACCAGTTCAGCATTTATGTGGCATTATAAAATAGACAGATGTGGCCTTTAATAATACTGAATTGCAATTTCTTTATTCCTGGGTGACATGGGTGAAAAAGACAATATTTCATAAATCCATGGTGTAGCTATACTTTTATTGCAGCAATGTTCCTCGGAACTTCGTTGAGAACACAGAAAGAATTCTGCTAGATTAGATTTTCCTAATCCAGAATTAAGTCTAGTAACAGTCAAACAGATGCCTATAAAAATCTCACAGTCAGGAAAATGAGTATTTATTGACACCGAGGTATATTGTCTATGGCGACAGAAGCAATATAGAGCCATCAAAGGCAACTGATACAACACACAGCACATATATTGGCTGCTGGTTATGAGATATATAATTCAACATACTGTGTCAAATTGGGGAACATTGACCTAACATTGATCTATTTTTGGTTGATTCTATCCACAAAAGTATTGCTATCACTAACAGAGTAATATAATAAAATCTTGAAATAAAGGCATTCCTCATAATATATTAGCAGGGAATAAGACGTTTGTATGGTAGAATGCACTGAATGTAAAAAAATGAAGTCTATTTATATGTGATTGTTCAAACTGGATTTAGGCCATCCATTAATATCTTTTGTTTCTCTTACCGGAATCGTTATCATGGGCATCAGGTAGAGTAAGATACACGTTATTATTCTTTTTGGCTGGTACTGTCTCAATCAAACTGTTTGTCTTTTCTGAATCACTGGAAAAGAACAACAGGATAAACATGTTAATTACAATTTACTTAAAAGGCAGGGTATATGCTAAAGCCAGAACGCCGTGGTAGATGGGGGCTTGGACTAGAATTTGGGAGACCCAAGTTCTAGCCAACCTTCAATCATGAAGATTCAGTGAGTGATTTTGGGTCCATTATTTCCTTTCAATTCAACTTTACTTTATAGAGTTGTTGTGGGGAAACAAAGGAAGAGGTATGCTTCTGCAGAAAGATGGGAGAAATTTAAATAACAGTAATAATCAGTCCTAGAAAATGAGCATCTATCAACTTTGAAAGCTGAAATGTGGGGGCATATGACATAGTGGCGGTCAAAATTACTCAGGCAGCAGGGATTTCTGTTGAAAAGACAGAAGTTTGTTGTGTCACAAGCCATACTGTGTGAAAATTTTGATAAAGCAAACTGCCAAGGCAGGATGATGATGTCAGTGGTGATTGATGCACTTGGATTAATCAGACAGGTTTTAGCAAAGTGGCTTCTGCTGCTGAAAATCTGACCATTTGCTTATTTTCTACTTGTGAAGTAGGGAAAATGTGATCTCTTCCTAGTATAGAGAGTTTTGTTCTGCTCCACCCCAATGAGGAAAACTGACTGAAGACAAAATTATACTAGTCATCACTGGCTCAGTCCTAGCATTTTGTTACTTATCTCAACATAGAGAGATTTATAACTAACTATGGGTTGTGTTTGGCATAGAATGTTTTTATTATATTTTGTCATTTTTATCATTTTCCTTTGTACATGATATTCTTTTTTTTAATGTTTTTATTGAATTTTATAGGGTTAGGGATAAAATAGGGTCAGGGTAGGGATTGGGGTTTATGGTGGGGTTGGGGTCAGCGTTGGGGTTATCCCCCAGTAAGATTTTCAATATTTAGCCAACAGACTATTGTCCGGGTAAATATGTTTAACTAACAATAATTAGTATAGTAATAGATAAGTGTAGTGCATATAATTGATTATCAAAGACAATATTAATTAATCAATGCATAACATTCTTCTTACTAGTATGTACTCAAAATAACATATCACATTCGTTTCTCACTAGTTATCCCATGTTCTAAAGTAGACTGAATCTTTTTTCTCTTTAATCTCTAAAGTTTTGTACATGATATTCTAACCCCTGTCTGCTGCCCAGAGCTGCCTGGTGAGTGGGCACCCTGATCATTCTCATGAACCAAATTGCTCTGTTCATGGTGCAGAATAGAGAAAGTAGAGCCTGGTGTTCTACTTTCCATCTCTATTGTGATGCTCTTATGTACATAAAAGAGTTAAGTCTGGAATAACCAAAGACTATTTTCTGCTAATTACCCACGTTATTGTTTCCCATGTCTCTGACAAGTTCTGTCCTTTTGCTATGATATAGATAATGTAATTTGTGGTTATTAAGTCCCCTGTGCTTTTTATCTTTTGCCTTTTGTTCATCTTTTTCTCTCTCCTTCTCTCTCTCTCTCTCTCCCTCCCTCCCTCTGCTTTTTAGCTGCCTTTTGTCCCCTGTTGCCATCTAATTATGTTTATATTTGCTGATGTTTAATAAATAAACAAACATCAAAATATATTTTTGATAGCTCAACTGAGCAGTATGTCTTCTTGCTTTAATCTGAATAGAGGGGACTGATTGCAAGTGGGTTGGATGGCAACTGGAAATTATCTGCAGTATTTTTCCACCAGCTAAGTAGTGCTGCATAAGGCCTTTGAGAGCAGCAAAAAAGCAGCCATTCCTAGAATGGAAATGCATTTTCTGCTTAGAAATTAAGATTTGTTTATATAACTAAAGAGGGAAAAAACCTTGGATACTGCTTTTGCTATTAATAAATAAAATTCTAGGAGATATTTTAAGTATGAAGTTGGTATGTTTGCACTGATATGCAATGTTTATTTATTGAATTTGTATCCTTTTAAAAAAAAACAACCAAAGGGCTTGGGGTGGCATTCACTTCTTTTTTCCCCACTTTTACACATTTTTTTTCCAACAACAACTCTGTGAAGGTAAGTGAAAGAATAACTCTAATGCTACCTAATCATAGTCATTTTAGTAACATTTTTAGATATATACATATAAATATACTATATACTATAATGCAACATCATAATTGAGAATGTTCTTTTTAAATAAAAAAAAACAAGACTTTAAAAAGCACACCAACACATCTAACCAGTTGGACCCACAAACTCTGTAATGCTTTGTGTATTTCCATTGAAAACAATTAGTCTTAATCAGGGCTTTTTTTCTCATAGAACGCCCAGAACGGAGTCACGGCACCTTTTTTGGATGGAACCTTGTAGGGTAGGCAAGGCGGGTTGTATGATGTGTGTGAATTCTGGTGCCTTTTTTTTTTTTTTTAGAAAAAAGGCACTGGTCTTAATTTGATATGAGGGACATTGATTTCAATAGGTCCTGCCTTAAATATACCTAAATCTGAATCTCATTAAAGGATCTTAATATTGATTTCTAGAAAGAGAAGAGAGAAAGGCCATTTACAATATACTTCCTGTTGGGGTGTAGCTAGCCATATCTGAGCCTATATGAGTCATTCTTAAATATATGTGTTTGTGTGTGTATAGTGGCAGGAAGAGATACTTCCTAAAATCATCTGAAGTAAGGTCATTTAGGGTTTGATATCAAACCTTGCTCCTTTAATTGAGCCTCCAGATTAAATTGTTTTTAATTACATTAACACTGTAATTATGATATATATGTCATTAGCTCAAGCTTGTGTGTCAGTAGCATTCAACACAAATAAAGTTTGAGTACATTACTGTAATCCAGTTTGTTAACCTGTCCCATCTGTCTTCTTTCAAAAAACAATCCCTATTAAACCAGGCATATGTAAGATATCTATGATTCTAGGACCAGATGGTCTGTTAGATTGCCTGTATTTTGCTTTTTTGTTCTTTTAGAATTAATTTGAATGTAGTTTTAGTATTCAACATTTTTAAGCGTGGTTGGCTTATTGTGATGGATTTAATTAATAATAATCTTAAGTCAAGCCATCTTGGGAGGAAGCACTGTACAGAAATAAAATCCATCAATTAATACTACCAATGAATAATGTATTGGATTTCAAGCTCCATAATCCACCCTGAAGAGCTCCCGAGTAGAGAAAGCTATTTTCATCACAAGGGCATGAGTGAATGTTGATATGTACAGTATTCCATTTTTATTCACTGCTACTCAAGATCAATAAATAATCAATTAAGAATGTCATTATTGTATGGCATTAAATAGGATTATTTGTCTGCAAGTAGGTGTATTGTACTTTATCACTCTTTGATATGAACAAGCAACATCAATGAAAGAGAACAACAAGCAAGCTCTGCTACTATATCAGTTGGTGGCATTTTGCCAGAAAGAAAATGTTGAAGAGCTGTTTCTATGGGCTTGTGTAAGTGTCCTGACATCTCTGTCCAGCTACAGCACAGCCAGAGGTAAAAGAGAAGGGATTTCCTTTTCTTTCTCTCTTTGTCTCCCTCCCTCCCTCCCTCCTTCCCTGAGTGCAAGGATCTGATGTGTGTTCTACATGGAATAAATTCCTGGCAGCTGGCAGTGACTTCATATTTAGTTCTGGTCTGTCCATTTGCCTTGATCTGCAATCCAGCAAAGCTATAATGAATTCTAAATGGCAACCTGCATAAAGTTTTCAGGTTTATCACTGGAATAAAGCAGCCTTGGGAAGTCTTCACTCTGGAAGGTGGAGTGGGGGGATCCCTGGGATCCTGCTATTCTTCAAACAAGACTTGGTAACCATGATGGTTATTTCCCAAGGTCCAGTTCTTAGAGACAGCTGGTTATATGATATTGTCTCCCTTCTCATTTCCAAGTGATATAAAGTGACATATCTTTCAATGCTTGCTTATGGATGCTTAATGTTTTCTACAACTTTCAGGTCTCTTACTCAAGCGTCTATATTTAGATTTAGGCAGGAATCCTGAACCTCCCCCGAGCTTCCCAGAGCTGAACATAGGCTTAATTAAGATTTCTTCGAATAATCTAAAAGAAAGTATAAACCATAATTAAATCTAAATACTAAAAACATTAATTAAACAAATTATAAGATGATTAACAATAATATATATATAAAGAAATATAACTATCCAAAGAATAATACTTAAAAGAAAAAAGAATAAAAAAAAATAAAAAAATAAAATCTAAAAAATATTTTAAATTTTAAATATAAGTTATTGAAAAGCTAAATAATATTTTTTAACATCCAACTTATATTGTATAAAATCTATCCATTTTTTCCATACCGCAAAATACTTCTCCTGCGATTGATCCTTCAAGAAAGCCGAAATCCTTGCCATTTCCGCCAAATAAGAAACTTTAAAAAGCCACTCTTGCAAAGTAGGCAGAGATTCCTTCTTCCAACATTGCCCTACTAACAGCCTTGCGGCTGTAATTAAATTTAACATCAATGTTGTGTCTTTAATATCACAGTCAGTAACAATACCTAATAAAAACAATTGTGGGGTAAATTTTACCCTCCTTCTAAAAATTCTTTGAATATTCCACCATATCTTAATCCAAAAGGCTTTTATATTTTTACACGACCACCAAATATGATAATAAGTAGCATCCGAACAAACACATCTCCAACATTTAGGCTGTAAGTCAGGATACATACGAGACATTTTTTGTGGATCAAGGTGCCATCTGTAAAACATTTTATAAAAATTCTCCCTTAAATTCTGGGCTTGTGTAAATTTAACATTCCTCACCCAAATAATTTCCCAGGTATCTAGTAGAACTGGTTCACCAAAATTTTGTGCCCATTTGATCATACATTCTTTAATTAATTCTGCCTCTGAATCCAATTCTACTAGCACCCCATAAATTCTCTTAATATGAGTTCGTCTTTGATCTTTTACTTGTTTAAGAAAATTTTCATCTTCTCTAAGTAAACCCACATTACAGTCTAACTTCCATCTGTCCACTATTTGTCTATACTGAAACCATGAATATATGATA